TAATCAATAGTAAGCTTAGTACATTCATATTTTTAAACTAATCGATTACATAAGATTACTTTTTCTTACATGTAATCATGATTACCTCTGATTACTCTAGATTACCTTGATTTTTAAAAAGATTTTTTTCTAGTTATTCATTTAATGTAAATAATTATTTGTTCATTAAATGTTCAGAAAAGAAAAGGTGATTTTTTTTTAATTCAATAATCATTTACACACTATTTTTCATTGATTTTAATCAATTTTCATTGATCAAGATAACTTGTTCTTATATTAATACAAGTTAGATTAATAAACATATGCGACAAATCAAGTCTTCATGAAGAGGTGGTTTGAAATTCGATGACTTTTCAGACTGTGGGGAAAGGGAGGGGGTTAAGCTCAGACATGATAATAACACGTTGCTATTTACATAGCTCTTGGTGGTAGCGATAAATGGGCACCCCCCGCTGTGGTCATTCAAGAGTCCTTTGGTCAAATTCCCACAGGTTCTTTCTTTAAGAAAATTAATATGTGTTATTTTATATTATTTCATAAAATGAAACGTTTTACTTCATATCCATTTAACTTGAGAATAAGACTATTTCTAAGCTCATTTCAAACTTCGGAGAAAAATAACAGAATCGGGAATTATCACTCGTCTTTTTTATGTTAATGCAGTTATTGAAGAAAATTGTTGGCTAAGAGTCAATGCACCTCTACAGACTCTACCACTGATCGTTCTTAACCTTTCAGACGTTTCTAGTTTAGATAAAATGTGTTTTACAAAGATCCTGCGATTCCATGCGTTCTCCTTTAATTGTTCCTTTGACGTTTTTCCTACGTAAATTGATATTAACACAATAAACACTGTCAGTTTGTGCTGTTGATAATCACGCACCAAGAAAAATTAAAAAGGAAAAAAAGAAAAGAAATTAAAAAAATATATTGAATAACATTGAATCATTTTCGAGATCTGTTTTTCATGAATTAAATCTTGAAATTTATCCATGAAGTTGAAAGATGTAGCCAAAAAAAAAAAAGACAATCAGAAAAGACAATCGCAACATCTAAAGAAAATTAACGAACATATTGTTAACATATTTCCATTGGATGTTCCATGGAATGCCCTTGCATGTCAGTTTTGTCGTGGGAGTACAAGAGTGCGGTAATTAACAAACCAGGCATGCAGCCGATGTCTTGTTCTGACTGAAAACAAGTGTGCGCGATTCTTAGAAGCATGCCATCTGTTTTAGATATATACTATTAATCAAAACTCTAAGCAAATACAACAACGATGGCGCTTAGGAGCTTATTTTCACATTCCGCCAAATATACACGAGTAATATGTTGAGTATGAATGAATTGCCTGCGCCCTTATACATGAACAACATGTAAATATTTTCTTTCAAGGTCAGGAATTAGTTCTAAAAATATAAATTGTATGCAATTTTTAAAATTAATTTTATTCGAAATAATTTACTGCAATGGGTAAATACACGTATTTTCGCAAAATTATTCATGTACTTGAAGGTCCATCAATGCAAGAATAAGAAATATTTGTGCAGTGTATTTCGAGAATCATAATTTCAGAACAGTTATAGTTTTAGCGTTGATTTGAGGTGGGGATAATCATTTCTCTAAAAAACGGACGGCATTTAACATGCATGAGACGAACTGAATTGCAATTATCAAGTATTCAACATACATATTGTAGTGTTTGAACGTCTTTTCGTTTTTTTTCGTAACGTCTTTCTTTTCCTGACGGTTCTAATTACATGGTATTACTGCCCTTATATTTGAAATAAAAATAAATTAAATCTAGAGTGTTCTTCTGAATTTGTAATCGATTCAAGTATTCCTAACATTTTATTTGACGAAGTTGCATTATGATTTTTTATTGCAATTTATATGCATGTAAGTAAGGAACATTGATTTCTGTTTACAAATACTTTGTTGTCTTTGGACATGTTCATGTGGATACCAGAAAATTATCAGTGTATTATATTAAATATGAAGTAGATATACTCAATATTTATATCATTTGCACGACATATTTTCCGCAAATTATTTTTTTCATTAGTGTATAGATGGTCCTTAAATGGTTGGATCATTTTCCTTTCCAATAAACAGACTATATAAAACTTGGCATTAAGAAGCATTCGTTTTACTTGAAACAATAAAACAAACATTTAAACTGGTGATGAAGATTCCAGCACATACACTTCTGTGCAATATGAACCTCGTCCACAAATCCCTCCCTGCTGGTTCTGATTTCGTCTATACGATACAGACCACGCGCGTAATGCCTGCACGCGCCAATATGACCTTTCATCAAGTGAACGCAAATTAATTACAGACGATTTGCAGAAAAACTGCTGATACACGAAGAGTGTGTTCCATAACCAACATTTGCATACATAATTCAGATATGCAACTTTCTCTGAATCGCAAGATGATATCAATTATCAAAAGATATTATTTACTGCAATAAAAGTCGTTGGTTTTATTTCTCAGAATTTCAACTTATTTTAAAAGCTTTAATATTTAACTTTTAAAAGATTTAAAAATATATAAAAAATGACAAGACTTTATTTGTTTTTATGATATTGTCTTTCACTAATTAACAATTTTCAATTGCCAATAAGTACATGACTAATTTAATTAGTCATGTACTCAATGGCAATTGAAAATTGTTAATTAGTGAAAGACAATATGCTCTTGGATAATTTCCGTGATATTAATTAAACGTGGAATTCTGCGGGTTTTTTTTTCAGAAATAAAACATTTTTCATTTGATTAAATTTCCGTGAGTCCCTTATATGCTTGTCAATTCCAAATAATGAAAGCCCCCTCCTCCAGCTTTGAAATACAGGTACATTGTATATAGAAATTTGAGTGTATACGAGTTTAAAAATTCACGTATGTCCATGCCTGCAATTAGCTGCATATTCGCGTATTACAGGTTTAATTTATCATAAATTTCAAAATACATGTAATTTCAATATTTTTTTTTTCGAATGACTAAAGCCAGAAACGAGGAGTTAACAATTTCTTTACCTCGTTGAAATCTTTTATCGAAATACAAGTACGAAGAAATCAAAATCTTTTTTAAAATGTGCAAAATCATTTTTTTTAAATAGACAACAGTATAACAGATTGAAAACATGGAATTTTCATATATATGCATAATAAAATATTCCGTTACATTTCAAATTGTATTGTCCTGTCTATTTACTAATAAGACACAAACACGACGACAAGGAAAAGTAATCCCATTGAGTTTATAATTAACAATAATTATGTAAGCAGACGATATCCAGACAGATAAGCAAACACGTCCCCCATACATCCCCCACGCAGTGCGCTTATTATGCAAAGTTATTAATAGATTCATGGTTCCATACCGTTATTCGACTCTTGGCACAGAACAGCTGAGCAATCGTATTCCTTTTGTAGTATCCTCATCTTTCTCGTATATGAATCTTTCTCGTCTTCCGATTGGACCTCGACTGATGCTGTAACAACTACCCTCCAATCAAACAAGTCGTTGTTTATTTCTGTTCGGAAATTTTTGAGGATATATAAACTGAAGGGTGTAACCGAAGCAGTTAGAGCAGCTTCAGATCGTAAGTAAATCGGATGTTGGATTTTTTTCTCTCTTGTGTGCCTTTACTCATTCCGTGGTAAATAAATCCTAACCTAATATCTCTTGACTTTTATACATTAACCACTACCCTTCCTATCCTTACATTCAAACCACCCAAATCTCCGAAATCATTTTATCCTTCACTAGATTTTAATGCACTTTCCCAGTTTTAAGCATTTCACTTTCCACCTTTACTCCTTCTAAACCCCTCCTTAGTTTTACACTTTCGCTAAAGATTATCTTTCTGATTTCGGATTACATAATTCTGTGAATTTTTAGTATTTTGAAACATCTCTCTCCGGAATATATCCAAGGTAAGGTTGAATTCTGATGAGCGCATACCTGTTCCATATTTGGATATGCTCTTAATGCATAACTTATCAGTGATGGATTCATACTAGTCTAACTAAAAGGTCGTGAAATTATGCCTAGCTCTAATATTTGGCATAGAAAAATGAACAAGAATATTTTTGACAGGAATGATAGCGAAAGGATGCATGCAAGTGCAAGCAGATGCGCGCATTCCTGTGCCATATTTGGATATACTTTCAGAACTTAGTTAATATGTTATGGATTCAAACTTGCCGCTTAGCTAAAAAGTTCTAATAATATTTCGTACTGATTTTGATAAAATATTTTTGAAAAGAATTTTAGATATGCTTGTATTGCAAATAGATTCGGACTCAATGGGATGGTGTAATAGATAACCTTTAGGCTTGAACTAATGGAAACTTGGATGTTTTCTAAGCATACCATATGCTTGATAGCTCCCAGACCAAATCAGTATCGGTGCAAGAGGAGTAACTCTGAAAAATGTAAAGTAAAAACAGGTGAAAATTAAATAATAAGAAAATAAATAATGATGTCTTTAAAAAATATCTTTTAAATATGGTGTTAAGTTGTCCAAATCTCAACACGTTATGTTCCTATTCTTTCAAATATGATACATAATCATCAGAATAAAACCCGTGAACAACTTCCAATTTTACCCATGTTATAATTTATATGTTTTTGAGATTTGAGAATGAACCTACTTAGTGTCGATAAAAAAATCTTTGGCAGAGGTTTCTTGGACCGGGAAAAAGAAATTTTACTTCTTGTGTGGCTTCTTATATATTTACATTTTCCAAACACCCTAATGCATGCATTTTCTTTTCTTTTTTAACATACATTTTTTAAACATTTTTCTTACTTTAAAAACTATAATCTCCATTCTTCTACAAATTACAAAAAAATATGATTACGTTGTTGATACCAGGGCAAGTTTTTCAAGCAAAATTAAGAAGAAAAAAAAATTAAAAAACTGAAAGAAATTCAATCATAATTCTATTCAATGCTAGTATTCAAATTCTTGGTTCCGCTTTTTTAGGCTGTTCTGTAACAATTCGGGCTTGTTCTTGAGGCGTCCGGTTAACCAGACAGACTCCATCTTTTCGCCAGATTTCGGCTAAACTTGGTATCTATATACAAGCGGAGCTTGTCCACCGAATAAGCAAACATGGCGTCATTCGATCCCAACGATCCGGATATGAAGTACCTCGCTGTCGACAGGAAAGCTCTTATGAAGGAGCAGACTGTCCCATTTGACGGCAAAAAGATGTGCTGGATTCCTGACGAGAAGGAGGGCTTCTTGGCCGCCGAGATCCAGTCCACAAAAGGAGAGGAAATCACTGTCAAGACCATTGAAAGCCAAGAGGTAAAAACAAACAAACAAAATAACAAAACAATTCTTTGGTTTAAAAATTAAAAAAAAAAGTAATATGATTCATTATGAATTATCTTAAACATTCGCAGAATGTCAAGCAATTTTTCTAGTTTTTAATTTTCTTATTTTCAAATACTGTGTTAAAGCTAATATTAAAAATGGGATGTCTTTATATATTTTTTAGACCAGGACAGTGAAGAAGGATGATATCCAGCAAATGAATCCGCCCAAGTACGAGAAAATTGAAGACATGGCCAACATGACCTACCTGAACGAAGCCTCTGTATTGCACAACTTGAGATCCCGATACAAGTCTATGTTGATCTACGTAAGTATTTAAAAAAAAAAGAAGCAAAAATTGCTCATAATATTATTTCTCACAATTTTCCTAATTCATATTTTCTTTAATCTCAAGCTCTTATTACATTTTAAATTTTTGAAAACGTAATACATCTGTTTTGTTTTTTCTTGTTTATAGACCTATTCCGGACTTTTCTGCGTTGCCGTCAATCCCTACAAGCGACTCCCCATCTACGGCCAGGCACTGGTCGACAAATACAGGGGCAAGAGAAAGACTGAAATGCCTCCCCATTTGTATTCCGTTGCTGACAACGCTTACCAATTCATGGTCCAAGATCGTGAAAATCAGTCCATGTTGATTACGTAAGTCTGTCCATTTTTAACAGTTTTCATTTTTTTTTTTTTTTTTTTTTTTGGAAAATTTGCCTCGGGGTGAAGTTTCCATTCATCAGATAATAAAATTTCTATTTTTTACTTCACAGTGGTGAGTCTGGAGCCGGTAAAACTGAAAACACCAAAAAGGTCATTCAGTATTTCGCCCTCGTGGCAGCTGGTCAGTCCAAAAAAGAGGACGTAGAGGAAAAACCAAAGGACGACAAGAAGGTAGCGAAAATGTTTCCTCTATAAAGACATTCCTTCAATAATGTCATAATAGTAATAATAAAAATCAAGTGTTATTTTTTATCAGAATGATAATCGAACGATATTCTTTGTCACTGTGCTTTGCAAAAGTTTATAATTTATTCTTTTTTTTCTTTTTCCCCTCTCTCCTTTCTCCGTGAATTTTCCGAACATCCTTCCTTTATATCCAATCAAACTATTCTGATCGTTTTCTACTAAATTCACCCAATTCCATCTCAATCCTTTTCCGGTCCCTCCCTTTTTTCTTGACCTTGCTACAAAACAGGGAACCCTAGAGGATCAGATCGTGCAGGCTAACCCAGTACTTGAGGCTTACGGAAACGCCAAGACTGTCCGTAACAACAACTCTTCACGTTTTGTAAGTTTATTATTAAAGCCTTTGATAATCCACTTTTGTGCTGAATTTATCTTTCATTAAACCTAAACCATAAAACAACTCAACCCATATTTTTATTTTGATTTTTTGATCTTTAATATCATTTTTCCTGATTTTTTGACAATGAACAAATTTATCATCCTCAGTGCATGGTTGATGATAACCTATTTGACCCTCTTGATGTTCCAGAAAAGACTTAGGAGTCACAAAACCTTTAATATTTTTACACCATTTTCTTTATTATTTCATTATATATAATGTCATGGTTTTTGATGTGAAAATAACCTTGCATGTATTACCTTGATGGGGAATTCGTTTAACCACGAACGAATATTACAGCACCGAAACACTTTGATCCACCGGTGTGTTTTTAACAAATTCCTATTCTCCCTCATCACTAGGATAATCTGGATCCTCAGATATCCGCTCACCTTCCTAAGCCGCTCCCCATCCTCACTCCCTCCTGATATTGTTTCCTCTCATTTTGAGGATGCAGGTCAACTGTAAGTAAAAACATTATAAGTTTCATTTCAGTGATAAAAAAAAAAATTTAAAATAAAATTTCCATTTAAAAGCATTTTTCTCATAATCAATCAGTTATAAATTATAAATTTCATTTCAGCGATTAAATAATTTTTTTTAAATAACATTTTCATTAAAAAAAACTATTTTACGATTGTTCTTTCATTTTCACGATTTTTTACTGAGTCATTTTCGTTTATAAACAGGGAAAATTCGTCCGTATCCACTTCGGTCCCACAGGAAAAATTGCAGGAGCCGACATTGAAACCTGTAAGTTTATAGGCTCTTTAATGTTATTAGTTTTCCATTCATTTTGAAAACATTATTGAAAATTTTATTATTGAAAATATATGTTTAAATTCACAGACCTGCTCGAGAAATCTCGTGTGACCTACCAGCAAACTGTTGAGAGAAACTACCATATTTTCTACCAGCTTCTGTCTAATGCCATTCCAGAACTCAACGGTATGTGTCTTCATCAATAGTAATGTTGATAGAGCTATCTCAATTACATTTTACACTTTTTTCTTTGGTAAATGACAATGATTAATACTTTATATCTCACCGAAGTATTTCATTTCATATAACATAGAAAATTACACTCGTCATCGTCGGGAGAGGACTTAAATAGGCAGCTATGCAACCTACTGTCCAATCCGTCTGAGTTTTATATTGTGTAAATCATCGTCTCATTTACGTCATATAAATCACGTAATGGCATTCTGCTTACAGAACTTTTATTGGTTTCACCCGATCCGGCCCTGTACAGCTTTATCAATCAGGGTGCACTCACTGTCGATGGCATTAATGATGTAGAGGAAATGAAAATGATGGACGTACGTTGTAATAAGTCCCTCTCCCCCTCTAATATACTCTATTCTTCTTCTGATATGGAAACCTGGTTCCAAAATATCTCTTGACTCTAAAGAGATATAAAATCCCGTCAAAATCCTTTACCATGTCGAACTAATAAATTTTCTTTCAGTCACTCTATCCTTCTCCCTGAATTGAAATGTCCTTCTTTTCAAAAAGAATTCCAAAACCTTTAATCCGAACTCGATCTCTTTTCATTCTTAAAAGTACCATAACACAGCATATCGAACTAATAGATTCTTTTTCAGAAAATGCAGCCTGGTATCATGAATCTCGAAATGCTTACCAACACCCCAAACTTAATACTACTCCAAAAAATCTATTCATTTTCTTTAATTCATATATTCTTTCACAGATTCTCTTCCCAAAGGTCTTCATATTTCCAACTTTTTTTTATATTTCTTTGTAACTCCGCAATCCAAAAACACCCTCTACTAGACAGGTTGTCACGAGTTTTTAAAAGACTTGTCACTTAATCTTCCAAACGTTCTCCTGATTCCGCTACCATAAAACAATTCTATTTCAGTTTTCTAAACAGTCAATTCGATACTGCATTCCCACGTCTTAATCCATATAATCTGCCTAAAATGTCATTTCATACTGATCTCTCATGGGACACCGTTCCAATTCAAACTGTATGTCCACACATCCTTTCATCCTTATCCCACCTTAACTCTTTTTAGAACCTCTGCTGGTCTCACCCGATCCCGCCCTCTATTCATTTATCAACCAAGGTGCTTTGACAGTTGATGGTATTGATGATGTTGAAGAAATGAAAATGGTCGATGTATGTATATGCGGAACAACAAAAAAAGATAATTCTATTTTGATTGGATGTAATTTTACTTTTGTCACCGCGTATAAGCGTGTATTGACTTCATTTTATTAACGCACGATACTGTATCATATAGGAAGCTTTTGACATTCTTGGTTTCACCACTGAAGAGAAGCACAGCATGTACAAATGCACAGCCTCCATCATGCATATGGGTGAAATGACCTTCAAGCAGAAGGGTGAACAGGCTGAGGTTGATGGAACTGCCGGTATGTATTTATTTAAAAACTGTTTCATAAAAGTATTATAAAGTTTACTGTATTCGTCCGGGATGAATTCTCTCATATTCATTCTCGTTTTTTTAGAACCTGAAAAGGTCGCTTTCCTGTTGGGTATCAACGCCGGAGACTTTTTGAAATGCTTGCTGAAACCCAAGGTCAAGGTCGGAACCGAGTTTGTCTTCAAGGGTCAGAACAAAGAGCAAGTAACCAACTCCGTTGGTGCCTTGGCCAAATCTCTGTACGACCGTATGTTCCAGTGGCTGGTCAAAAGAGTCAACAAAACTTTGGACACCAAAGCCAAGAGAAACTACTACATCGGTGTATTGGATATTGCTGGTTTCGAAATTTTTGAGGTAAATTATAAGAAAACCAATGCATATTCTGAGAACAGCTACATTGTCATTTGTACAACAAATGTTAATTATCTTTTTTTTTTCAAATGATCTAATTTTCATTGTACAGTTCAACAGCTTTGAGCAGCTGTGTATCAATTATACCAATGAAAGACTTCAACAGTTTTTCAACCACCACATGTTTGTCCTGGAGCAGGAAGAGTACAAGAAGGAAGGTATCCAATGGGAGTTCATTGACTTTGGTATGGACTTGGCAGCCTGTATCGAGCTCATTGAGAAGGTAGGGTATCAAAGTTTAGTCTGTAAACTAAAATATTACATACATGTACGTTTAGTTTGAGAATTCGGGAGAATAAATAAACACTTTTTTTCAGCCTATGGGTATCCTGTCCATCCTTGAAGAGGAATGCATGTTCCCCAAGGCCGACGACAAGTCATTCAAAGACAAGCTGTACCAAAATCACATGGGCAAATCCCCCAACTTTGGAAAACCAGGAAAGGCTCCAAGACCCGGCGTTCCCGCTCCTGACTTCTCATTGGGTCACTATGCTGGTTCTGTTGGTTATAACATCAGTGGTTGGCTAGAGAAGAACAAGGATCCAATCAACGAGAACGTCGTTGCCCTGCTATCTGAATCAAAAGAACACCTTGTAAAGGAACTCTTCCAAGCTCCTGAACCTGAAGCCGGCGGTGGAAAGAAGAAGAAGAAGTCCTCTGCTTTCCAGACTATCTCTGCTGTCCACAGGGTAATGCATGCATTTTATCCTAATTCACTTTCTATTCTAAGTTTTTGGTAGAATATGTTTGGAGTGAAATGCCAATTAATTGACATATGAATTAATTTGTTGTAGGAGTCTCTGAATAAACTGATGAAGAACTTGTACAGCACTCATCCCCACTTCGTGCGTTGCATCATTCCCAACGAATTGAAACAGTCTGGAATGATTGATGCCGCTCTTGTACTCAATCAGCTTCAATGTAACGGTGTACTTGAGGGTATCAGAATCTGTCGCAAAGGATTTCCCAGCAGAGTCATCTACTCTGAATTCAAACAGAGGTACTGTGATTGATTTGACTTCAATGAATAATCGTCGCTCTATGCAGTCTTATAACTCAAACTTTCAAAATCAAAATTCTGCTTTACAGATACTCCATCTTGGCCCCTAATGCCATTCCACAAGGCTTTGTTGATGGAAAGGTTGTGTCCGAGAAAGTTCTGCTCGCTCTGCAGCTTGATCCTGCAGAGTACCGTCTTGGTAATACTAAGGTATTCTTCAAGGCTGGTGTACTTGGTATGCTTGAGGAAATGCGTGATGAACGTCTTTCTGCCATTCTGTCTGGATTCCAGGCTCATATCAGAGGTTATCTGATGCGCAAACAATACAAGAAATTGCAGGACCAAAGGTAATTTTTACACCTATATGTACTTGTATCTAAAATCGTTTGGTTCGACACATGTTTTTAATAATTTCTTTTTTCTGTATGATGGTAATTAATACTAGAGAATAAAATACCTTTAATGTTTCAGAACTGCTCTTGCCATGATCCAGAGAAACATCCGTAAATGGCTTGTCTTGAGAAACTGGCAATGGTGGAAACTGTACGCCAAGGTAAAGCCCATGTTGAATGTTGCTCGTGCAGAGGAGGAGATGAAGAAAAAATTGGAAGAAATGCACAAGATGGAGGAGGAATTGAAGAAGACCACTGAAATCAAAAAGAAACTCGAGGAACAGAATGTTGTATTGTTGGAAGAAAAGAATAGAATCTTCATTGACCTTCAAGCCGAACAGGACAGAGTAGCTGAATTCGAGGAGAGACTTGAACAATTTATTACAGAAAAAGCTGAATTTGAAGCTCAGATCAAGGAATACGAGGAACGCCTTCTTGATGAGGAGGACGCTGCAGCTGAGCTTGAGTCCATTAAGAAAAAGATGGAAGCTGAAAATGATGAGTTGAAAAAAGACATTGAAGATCTTGAAAACACTCTTGCTAAGGCTGAACAAGAGAAACAAACCAAAGATAACCAGATCAAGACTCTTAACGATGAAATTCAACAGCAAGATGAACAGTTCGCCAAGCTCAACAAAGAAAAGAAGGCTTTGGATGAAGCTCACAAGAAGACTCTCGCAGATTTACAAGCCGAGGAGGACAAATGCAATCATCTCAACAAACTTAAACAGAAACTTGAACAGACTCTGGATGAGGTATGGTAGCCTTCAGTTTATGTAATACATGTATCATGTATTTTTCCTATCTCTTTTATTTATAATTGATTAAAAGTATATTGTATTCATTTTTTTCTAAAAGGTAATCACTTCTTACTTTTCGTTTTAGATGGAAGACAACCTTGAGCGTGAGAAGAAGATCCGTGGTGATGTTGAGAAGGCCAAACGCAAGCTTGAACAGGACCTGAAATCCACACAAGGTGCTGTTGAAGACCTTGAACGCGTCAAGAGAGAATTGGAAGACGCCGGCAAGAAGTAAGTTCTTGTAATGATAATACTAAAGAGTGGATTAATTCATTCATTTTGAACTTAATTCAATTAACGTGGGGAAAACGCGTCTTTTGAATAACTGTATCATGCATTCAATTACTCTTCATTAGGAAGGACATGGAGATCAACAACCTCAACTCTCGTATTGAGGATGAGCAGGGCATCAACGCCGGTCTCCAGCGCAAGATCAAGGAGTTGAACGCAAGAATCGAAGAACTTGAGGAGGAGCTTGAGGCTGAACGTGCAGCTAGAGCCAAGTCTGAGAAACAGCGCATGGAGCTCAGCCGCGAGTTGGACGAATTGAGCGAGCGTCTGGACGAGGCTGGCGGTGCCACTGCAGCTCAGGTAAACAATACTTTCAGTAAAACACTTAAAGCATAAACTGATCTTTTCACACAGCTTTCAAATAACTAAACATCTGTAATTCAAACGTGTTGTTGACTCTTCTCTCTTTAGATTGATCTGAACAAAAAGAGGGAACAAGAGTTGTTGAAACTGCGTCGTGACTTGGAGGAACAAACTTTGGCAGGAGAAGCTCAGGTTTCAGCCCTCCGCAAGAAACAACAAGACGTTGCCAATGAGATGGCTGACCAAATCGACCAGCTCAACAAGGCCAAGGCTAAGTAAGTAATGGCAATATTAGCAGACAATAAAATTTATTAAATTTTTTATATGAAAAATATCGGAGAAATAGTTTACATATGCAAGAAAAAAAAAATGACTATTCGATTACTGAATGAAAAATTATTACAGACTGGAAAAGGATAAGAAAGATGTGAAACGTGAACTTGATGACATGCAAAGTCAGCTTCAACATGTCATTAAGCAGAAGGTAAAACAAAGAATGACAATTAATCGGTGTCATTCTTCAATCCTACCTCTTTTCTACAGCAAGAACCTTGGAATCCAGGCATGGGTGCACTACGATATTATATATATGTATATACCACACTGCACCATAATCTAAGTCCCCACACAACCTAACTAAACTGGGCCATAATAAAACCATATATATACACATCCCCACTTATTTTCCTTGCCTTCTTTCTCTTTCTGTATAGAGCCCTTAAGGATGCAGCACAAATGAAGGTTGAGCTTGATGACCTTCATGCACAGATTGCAATTCTCAACAAAAATAAGGTATACTGTCCAAATAAATGAGTATTTCTTCTTTCTTTTTATTTTGTCACTGTATTATTTTATACATTTTTTCCTGGATGTACCCTCCTAGTCACCAAATCTACGAGTTTGTATTTCTAACTTCTTCTGACGGCACAGTTAAATTGAAAAAAATTATATCATTCAAAATTAGTTACTTAACTTTTCGTTAAACTTTTAAAGTTATAAAAAAATCACTTGAATTCACAGTTTTCAACTCAACCAACCCCCAACCCCAAAACAAATAGATTTGCCAATGTAATGCCTATTTTTAGCAATCTGCCGAGAAGGTCTCCAAACAGCTTGAAGCCCAACTCTCTGAAGCCAATGCCAGAATTGACGAGGCCAACAGAAATGCTGCCGACCTTAACTCTGCAAAGTCCAGACTGCAGAGCGAGAATGCCGATCTTACCCGCCAATTGGAGGAAGCCGAGAGCCGTGTCAGCCAACTGACCAAGGAGAAGTCTTCTCTCGCTTCTCAGCTGGAAGAGGCTAAACGCTCCATTGAGGAAGAGTCTAGAGTACGTTGATTGTATTGTGTGTCAATTCAAACACTAAAAATTTGAATGTGTATAAAACCGAGATTGTGGTTATATAATAAATGAGAATACAATGTGATTTTTCCTTGTTTTACACAGCTCCGACAGAAAATGCAATCCGAGGTCCGTAACCTCAATGCCGACCTCGACTCCCTCCGCGAACAGTTCGAGGAGGAACAGGAGTCCAAGGCCGATGTCCAGCGTCAGCTCAGCAAGGCCCACAATGAGGTGCAGATGTGGCGATCCAAGTGCGAGAGTGGTGGTGGTGCCAGTGCCGAGGCAGTTGAAGAGATGAGGTACAGTAACATGCGAAATCTATCAAATACATTCCTTTGGTTAAAAAAAAATGTACCTTTATTGAAAATGTTCGGCAAAAATATCATTAAAAAGATTTTTTATTAATTTACCAATTACTTTTGCAGACGCCGTATGCAAGCTAAACTTAACGAGGCCGACCAGAATCTAGAGGCAGCTAATGCTAAGATCAGCCAGCTCGAGAAAGTGAAACAACGTATGGCTCAGGAAATGGAAGACCTTGTCATCGAAGTAGAAAGAGTAAGATTTTTTTAATCCATGTCATTTAAGCCATACATGTAACTTAAAAGGCGTTTTCTCTAATAGACAGTAAATTATGTGCTTATAAATATTATATTTTCCGTGGTTTTTCCTAGGCCAACGCAAATGCAAACAACTTAGAGAAGAAACAGAGAGCCTTCGACAAGACCGTCCAAGAGTGGCAGAGCAAAGTTAGAACCCTGGAGATAGAGGTTGAGAACGCCCATAAAGAAACTCGCAGCTTCTCTGCTGAATGCTTTAGACTCAAGGCACAGTTCGAGGAATCCCATGATACCATTGAATCTCTCAGACGCGAGAACAAAAATCTTGCTGATGAGATCCACGAACTCACCGACCAACTCAGTGAGGGAGGAAGAAGTGTCCACGAGGTGGAGAAGGCAAAACGCCGTCTTGAGATGGAGAAGGAGGAACTCCAGGCTGCTTTGGAAGAGGCTGAGAGCTCTCTTGAACAGGAGGAAGCTAAAGTCATGCGTGCACAGCTTGAGATCGCAACTGTCAGAACTGAAATTGACAGGCGTCTTCAAGAAAAAGAGGAAGAGTTCGATAACACCAGGTATATGCAGAAATTTTCTTAAACCATAAAAAAGAAGTATCCGTAATTTTACTCTAGCGATTATCTCAGAATCATCGAATGCCAATACTAATATTTTTTTGGCTTACAGACGAAACCATCAGCGTGCCCTTGATTCCATGCAGGCCAGTCTTGAAGCCGAGGCTAAGGGTAAGGCCGAGGCCATGAGAATCAGGAAGAAGCTTGAGCAGGATATCAACGAGCTTGAGGTTGCCCTGGATGCTGCCAACCGTGCCAAGGCTGATCTTGAGAAGAACGTCAAACGCTATCAGCAACAGATCAGAGTAATTATCTTTTTTCCAAGAAAAAACCATTCTCTAAAAACTGTCAGTTGTCTATAATAGGATGTTATTTTTTCATAGCTAGCTTATCTGTTACTAGTGGATATAGCAGAAATATCTACCTTTATTTATCCAGGAAATGCAAGTCACCATTGAAGATGAGCAGCGTGCCCAGAGCGAAGCACGTGAAGCCTACTCCATGTCTGAGCGCCGCTGCATGATTCTGCAAGGTGAGGTAGAGGAGATGCGCACCTCCATTGAATCTGCTGAGAGAGCCAGAAAATCTGCTGAAAACGAGCTCCACGAGGCTAATGACCGTGTCAACGAGCTCGCTGCTCAGGTCACATCCCTGCAAGCACAAAAGAGGAAATTGGAGGGAGACATCCAGGCTATGCAGGTACAAACAACATTTTGGTTTTATGTATTTTAATTCATTCATTCAAATAACCGTTTGAATATTACATTATTTATCGGGTGTTCATTGTATCTTCAGACCGATCTTGAGGAGATGAACAATGAAATTAGAGCTGCCGACGACAAGGCCAAGAAAGCCATTGCCGAAGCCAATCATCTTGCCGAGGAACTCCGCGCAGAACAAGAACACAGCGCCCAGATTGAGAAATTCCGCAAGGGACTTGAAAGCCAAATCAAGGAGCTCCAGGTCCGCTTAGATGAAGCTGAGGCATCCGCCCTCAAGGGAGGCAAGAAGATGATTGCCAAGCTTGAGAACAGAGTAAGTTAACGTTGACTAAATACTATTTGGTTTGTCTGGATTACAGTCATCTTATTACTAGTACTTCGAAAGTATATATGCAACTTTGAGTAACTAATTTTGTTCATTATTGTAGGTGAGAGAACTCGAGAGCGAATTGGACAGCGAACAACGCCGTCATGCCGAGACCCAGAAGAACGCCCGCAAGGCCGACCGCCGCCTCAAAGAACTCGCCTTCCAGGCTGACGAGGACAAGAAGAACCAGGAACGTCTGCAGGAACTCATTGAGAAACTGCAGGGCAAGGTCCTCACCTACAAGCGCCAAGTAGAGGAAGCCGTAAGTACTTAGTACCGAACATTATACCTAAACATAAATAATGACAGGCAATCTCTATTTGTTTCAAAACGGAAATGCATCATCTTTGGAATATTGAGAATAGCAATTTGAAGAAAGAAAAAAAAAACGGAGAATGCAATGCTGTTTAAGCTGTAATAAAGTGGGATGTCCTATTTAAAGTTTTATTCTTACTAGACTTAAAAATTATATATCTTTATTCTACAGGAGGAAATCGCCGCCATCAATCTGGCTAAATACCGCAAGGTACAGCACGAGCTGGAAGACGCCGAAGAACGCGCTGACACTGCGGAGACATCCATGTCTAAATTGCGCGCCAAAAGCCGCAGTTCTACATCTGTCCAGAGGACTACCACCGTCTCCTCTAAATCTATGGTGAGTGCATCAAATAAATTTTCTCTGTGATAATTTATTCAACATATTCCATTGGCAAAAAATATATATACGGCAAAAAAAAGTACGTAGATAAAAAAAAACATTTTCTGACTGAATCCACATCTATAATGCGGTAGATAATAATATTCTCTTCTTTATATTGCAGTCCAGAATCGAATAGACGACTCTTGAAGTAGTCCCTGACCACCCCCGTTCGATGAGGAATAATCGGGAGGGATTACATCTCCTCCTTTAATCACAGGCATATTCCGCAAGGAACCGTGAAATTCGCGTCTCCAGCGAATGGATTTGTTGTTTGTGATTTTTGACAATTCAACTATTTATTGTGTGTTAATTATTTATTACTAGATTGTTCCCTCATTGGACAACCATCATCAAAACGGAATAACAGCCAATGATGTTGTTTGTTCTGTTTTGTGATACTTACAGTAAATAAATTATTGTTATGTATCTGCAAAAAAAGTCGTTTTTGTTTGTTTTCATAAAAAATACATTGTAAAAAAGAGTTCATCAAAGAAATTTCTCAAGCGAAATTATATCGAGGTATATTCGAGAGATCCTATCTGAATAAAGGGGAATAAGAATCATACGAAGGTTTTTAATATCCAGCATACTTTTTTGAGTGTTCGCAATATATAATTGTAAACAGAGTCGAACCAAATTTTCACCGACATTCACATTTATTTCTCTTCACCACCGTTATTCTTACCTTTAAACAACTAATTTAATTGACCACTGATGATTATTGGTAACTGTGCAACTTATTCTCTAGAAATCAAATTGATGGCATAGTTGTGCTGGGAATCGCAAGATACTTTTTGATAAAATTTAAAGTTGTGGGAATTTTGCGCTATTATCATGTCTCCATTCAGTCCATTGAAAGCTATACTTAAAAAGGGAGAGGCTCTGATCACAAGCATACACTAGTTCACTACATGTTATTGTATGTGTAAAGGTTGCTTGGTCTTAGGGATTTGCACTCGTGTTTTAAAATTTTGCCGTCTCGGTTTCTCTTGAATTATCGATGAATCTTGTGAAGTCGGTGGCATTCACTGGCGGATTTAGAGGGGGCGTGGATCCGGAGGGTGCCCCCCCCCCCCTAAAATTTCCAAATATTGGGTTACATATGTATACATATAAAGGAAAAACTGCCATGATAAAAAATGAGCCTATTACAATACCTTGAAAATTGAATTGGTAAATGGATAAAATACATGTACAACATTTGGCACTCTTGCAAAAGCAGCATTACATGGATTTTACTTTTCAAGCAATCAATTTCATTGGAGAAATGATTTCCTTAATCATCTATTTTCCTAACATAGATCTGCCATCAGTTTTGATACCAAAAAATTCTTGACAATAACCTTCTAAAGATGTCGATTTAGTTGTATCAGAAATTCTTTGAACTCGGAAAGTGCATGAAGAAGAATGATTTTGTTTACATGGGAAAATGGCGATCGTGGATCGACAAGAATTAAATGCACTTTCTCTTCCGTTGCTGATTTGAAGAATTTTGGGGGAATATATATAAAGTTGAAACATTAGCAGTGAAATGTTTTAAGAATTTTTGGCATAAAATACTTGAGATAAGCCGCTTCAGGAATACAAGTCCAAAAGTGGCGCATAAATTGCATGTGTAGCTCTATGATCTGTCGTCCAATTTTCTCTCTCTCTTGAGTTGTGCAGCTAATTGTAAAAATGTATATCAGAAAGCAGCTTAGTTTGAATGTTATACATTTATAAGATATCATAATTAAGATGAAAGTAAGTATTAAAAATATGATTATGTGTGACTAAAATGATACTCATTACAATTTTACCTTTTTTTATCCGAAAGTTTCACAATTTTATTTCTGAAATATAAAGATACTGAATAATTTATGTGACTGTATTATTTTCCTTGTCTTCTTCATTTGCACAGGAAAGTCATTCTGACTCAAAAATTGTGCATTGGGGGGGGGGGGGGCTAATATTCCTTAAAATTATTTGAAAATCAATTAATTACTACAAAAATGAGAAGACATGCATTGTGTCAAGATCAGTCATGACGCACGATGAAAAGGGGGGGGGGTGATGAAAGAGGATGTGTGTGATCTGATGAAAGAAAAAAAGGGGGCCTTAAATATACAAGAAATATAAGTGGATTGGCTCAAATCACAGCTCAATGACGAGGAAACAAGTTTGACTAGAAGAAAGGGGTGTAACTACACAGGGTCTATGAATGCTAATTATAAGATTTAATTATACTTTTAAAATCACTAAAATTCAAGAGTTTCCCGGAAACAAAGTTAAATAGCAAAGTTCTGTCTCTCGCTATTCTCGGTGTTCAATCGATTAAGAGTATATTGAGAACAATCGATGTGAATATTAAGTTAAAAAAAAGATCAAGGTTTTGAGTGGAAATCCTTGTATTTTATTCATAAACTTCAACAAATAATGATAAAGGCCTGCACATGCTAAATGTCAAGGCCATGTCTTTTTCGATTCAAGACAAGAGATAATCAATAGAGAAAAGTGTTTCAAGGGTCATGCTCAAAAAGTCTGTAGCCCATTTTGATATATTGTGACAAGCGAAGCTTAATAGTTAAAAAAATTAAAATGATTAAAGAAATAAAATCCTATACAAAGAGTCAGACTGGTAGAGAGAGAGAAGGGAAGCCTGGAATCTATCAATAAAACATTCATCTGGTCAATATACTCAGGCCGTGGCAAATTATATCTTTGTTTTTCGTCCCTTGATTCTTTGAAAAAGGTATCCTCCGGTTCGGAAAAAAAAATCATAAAAAAGTTAAATTAGCAAAGTATTGACTAATCAGTGAGAAAGAAAGTTGTTATAAGTTATCATTCTTTATTTCCAAGTACTTTAATCAAGAAAACTAAAAAAAAAAAATCTCAGTAGAATTAAAATGATTCGACACACTTTAATTTTAAATTTTTGCATTCTTACTGGGAAGTTTTCAATTTGTTTCTTTTTTCATCGAAGATTTTTGTACCATAAATGAATTGTGACCTTAACCTTTCAGCGTTGACTTTTAATCAATAAGAGTCTTTTTAAGAAAGAATGAGTTGTCAGTTCTCATTTGTTACTTTGATCTTTGACCTTTTGACCTCAAAATTGATAGGGGTCTTTTTTTAATTCATAGGGTATTTTGTAAAAGTAAGTACAAGTACGTACTTCCAGAGATATCAACCACAAAGTAAAATGTTCCATTTCAAACCAATACAATTTCATCAAAATTCGTTTTTTATCAGAATGGCGGCTTTTGTTTTACTCTCATTTGGCGCCCACAACATGTTGCCACAGAGGGTTATTTAGTGTTATAAAACAACGGCGATGTATCAATCTTGATATACATCTTTAACTTATTAGAATCCTAAACTCTTGAAACATTTCGTAAATTAAATATACCATGACTAAGGAGTGTTAACATGGCATTTACAAATGTGTCTTCTAAAATTAACGTACGTAGTAAGCATGACAAAGCCTGCCTCATGAGCAGATGAGGGCCCACTTTGTGTATGCATATCAATAAATTTCACTGCATTTCATTCGTTTCGATCTAAAAAACCACTTCATGTATGATTCTACTTTTACTATATAAGACCATAGGATTTGTAAATATATCTTTGTATAATTATTTCATCTTGATAAATATAATTCGGATGTCGTTTCTTCATTCCTTTTATTTATGGGGTAAACCTCGTAACTATAACATTAGATATAACTTTAATCATTTTAGATATGGTTGGTTGAATTAAATATTGTCTATACAGGTACTCTCTTTTCAAATAGTGTTAAAATCTTTAAAGTTGGCTTATGGTACGGCTTCCTGAGACGTCCAGTGTATTTTTCTTTTGTTTAAATAGGTTCTTTGCTTTAAAATACCTTTAAAAATTGCTGGGTCGACAACATTTGAACACCTGCCTGGTGGAGGGCTCCTAATTTAGACTTTTTCTCGGCACGTATGGCCATTGATCATAAAGCATCAGTAAGGGATCTTTATCGTGCCAACATCTACATGTATACTGTGACACTGCATGGGCCTACGTTTTTGTTTTTTTTTTTTTTGTTTTTTTTTTTTTGTTTTTTTTTTTGTTTTTTGTTTTTGTTTTTGTAAAAATTCAATTTCAATAAATTTACGCTGGCCTGAGATATTTCACAAGTTCAAATGAATAATATTTGTGAATTAATTTACCATACATGTTGCTTTTAAATTTCATTTGTATGATATTAGGTTTAAAATAGGTTTCTTTTGTTCTTTCTTATTTATAGATAAATTATTCAATTTTCAGAATGTATTTTCAAAACTGCTGTCATAAAAAAAAAATAATTTACCTACCTACCTACTCAACTTGACATTTTAGGGTCGGGTTAGGGGAAACAAAGATATTTTTAATGATGGCCTTGTTTTACCTTTTTTTAATCGCACCCCCCCCCCTTTCCTTGCTTTTGTGAAAACGGGGGTATTAACAGTTGGATCTGTCTGTCATTCTGTCTCTCTGTAGCGCTTTTGTTTCCATATGATATCTCTAAACGTACTCATATAAGCCTTTGAAATGAACTCATATGCGTTACAAGTTTATTTCCCCCTCGTTCCTTCGTAGATTTTGAAACTGGTTTTCAAATCTGAGTACCAGTTTCGTAATACGTGTCATTAAGTCGATCATGATTATACCGCAGTTTGAAGAATTATTCGTCTTATATTTTCCCTTAGGCATCAATTTTATCAATGAATTAATTTAAGACATTAGCAGTACTTTTAAGATACTAAGTTAGATAATTTACAACAAAAATTCTGAGCTTATCATTAACTTTCTAGATTACGAAACATTTTTTGCACAAATTATCTTACATCTGACATTTTTGACGTCAACATGGATGGGAACTCGAAGAAAGAGAAGATAGCTGCCGCCAGAAAAAAGGTACTGCGACTGTTAGGGTCTTTTATGTTAAAAATAAAAACTAATGTTTGAATTATCAATGTTTCAAGTAAACTGTGCATCATGGCTAACAGTAAAGAATTAGGTTATCATTACTAAATCTTATTGTTGATAATAATACATACCACAGGGATCATATATCTTGATACTATATTATGCAAATATGAAATTGTCCCTGTTATAACTCTATGATTATTTAAACCACTGGCAAACAATTTTTCTTTTTTTTTTTCTTGGATTATATCTTGAAAAGAATATACCATCATCTGGTGTATTTTTCACACATATCCCGAAAACACTGTCAAAATCAGGTCCAGCACAATCTCTTGATTTAGCTATATAGCCTGAGATAGCTATATAGCTTTATTAAGCTATTCAAAATAGCTTGATAAAGCTATTTATGTGCAGTTTTTCAGAAAAATGTTTTTTGCCAGAAAAAGACAAAAAGTCGCAAGTATTTGGCTTTTCATATATGTACTATGGACTATCAAAACAACAACCAACATCAAAGAAAGTTT